TTAACTAATCAGAAAAGAATATGTCAATAGTTGTCGCCCGTTAACAGGGAACGATATGCATTAAATCAAACCACATATAGTCTCGACTCAACAGCGATTTGATACTTAGAAACGTTACCTCGTTAGAATTTAATCAGATGGTAGATTTTCGTTGTTATATTAACATTTCTATTAGTGAACATCTCTATAACACTTCTAACGTTCGCGATCAAATCATCGCCACATATTAGTGTTATAACGATAGTATCAAACCAACCAGTTAGTGGTGAAGCTAGAGGTGGCTAAAGAAGTCTCGGCTTCCTCGAGAAACTTTCCTATAGAAATGAGACGATCCTTTATTATAGGCAAAGAAAATACGTGTTGCCAGTTCGACAATCGTAAATGATCATATACAGTATAAGTTACGACCATAATAGGTCTCAATATTAGAGGAGCTAGAGTGAACTATCCCTCCCATTTTTATGTCGTCTCTGCGAAAATTACAGCTGTTGTTTGAAAACTGTCTGCCAAGTGAAGAAGGCAACTTTTTCTCAGTCACTTTCTGCCAAGCAGACTATCTTCGACTATTCGTCAAATTTTAAGTCCCTTCCACTTGAAAAAAATTATTCAGAGCTCTGATGACTATATAGGAGTAAAGAGATAACCGTACATGGTTGTATACGATGTCGAGTATTATCGTATTCACATAATCTTCTCACTCAAAAAGGAAAGGACTTTCCCCCCTTCCACCTTAAGCGTCAAATTTTATTCTATTTTGAATATAAATATTCGCTATTACATTTGTTGCTGGATTCAAAACGAACTAGATAACACACGAGTTAAGCCTGTGGTGCAAACTCGATGCGAAGCACAGTCCCAAACTGTATTTCTCGTTTATGAGATTATAAAACTTTCGAATCGATCGAAGCGTCAAACTTAGTGAAAAACTATATTTGTATAGAGTACAAAATAGAACGATGAGTACCACAAATTAGCTCCTAGGAAACAAACCGGATTTTGTGCTAATTGAAAATCAATAGATATTCTATCAAAGCACATGAAAAGACGAGACAGAATCATACCGTTTTCCTATCCTTCCTATGGATTTGAAATTTTTGTATCGAAATCGAGTCAAGGATGGTTCTTGCCTTGATGAATCATTCACTAAATGAGTACACATGATAGAAAATGCGGCGAGTTTTGAGTATTCGTGCTAAAATCTAACAAGGGAATCTATCCAATTGTCAAACACCATTTGATCCCTGAGATCTCATTGCCATATAGGTATAAGAGAATGAGATTTTTTTACTTTTTCCTAAATTTTTTTCTTTACTCCACGAAGGTAAGGGCCGAAATTTTGAACATAGAGTTTTCATTTAATACTACGAGGTTGGCTCACATTCAGTCAAAAAACGAGGATATAGGTATGAATGTGTCTTCTTTTTACCGACATCTACATCTTCAGTGAGTCCTACTCATAGCCGAAAGATTGGGCCGAACAGCGACCAACACTTGGATATGTTTCCTCGTCAGCTCAAAAAATTCTGCAATTTTTTATGCAACCTTGTCTCGTTGAGATCTTTAGTTAGGCAAAATCTCAGAACGAAATTCAAAATTATTGTTTCACTGCAAAAAAGCAAGATCCTACAACGAAAATTCACTAAAAACGTTTGATATCTCTTCAAAAACACACCACCAATACGAACTGTTTGTTTTTTGTTCGGTAGATATGCAAGGAACACTAGAAACTTTTTTTTTGGCGAGTTCTTTAGAGAAATAGTCAATGGCTGGTTCTAGTGTTATCAATAGTTCAATCATTTTCATATTGTTTTGATTGAACCACCTGAAAAATTAATTTCCTCTTATTATACGGTCGTAGGATCGTGCTATCATTCAATTTCTATTTTTAATGTCACTGCTTCAAAGTCATTTTCAATAGCCGAAACATTCAATAAAATTGATGCTAGTAGGAACTGTGGATAATCTCCATTCATACTAGTAGTTAATAAGAAAATATTAATTTTAGTGGAACTCTTTAAATATTTCGAATAAAAGAGTGAAATGAAAATGACATATTAATAGCAGAGCCCGCGCGAAGGATCAGATATTACGGAGGGGGGGGGGGGGGGGGTGTAAGGAATTATTTTCAGAAAAATCATAAAATGTGGACAAAATCTGCTCTTGTGGCCGGAAAAAACTGAACATTTTTGATTTTTGAAGGGAAGTACATCCCCCCACTCGCGTGGGGCCTGATTAATAGTTTCTAATCGAAAAATATTTGTTCAATAATGAAAGAAAAACTATAATTCTTTTCTTGTTTGAATATTTTATTTAATTCATTTTGATAGATTCAATCAATTTATTTCGAATTTGTTGTGATCGTTACACGTAAATAAGAATTTCAATTCATCATTGATCATTGAAGAAATTTCTATTGAATAACTCTATTCTTTTCCCTTAAATGTTCATTAGCCATTGATGTTTTCTTCCTTATCTTGTTTAAAAACAATTTTCTTGAAATATACTTGTATCTGTTGCTATACATGACTATTTATATCAACCATATGAAACTTTGAAAGTACTCTTAAATTACTTTTCGCTTGCTTGGTAATGTTGGAAAACATTTCTTCATTGTACGACGAACATACAAAAGTATGCGAAAGAGAAAAAAGTGAAAGAACAAAGAAGAAAAACATAAATTATATAAACAATATTTTTTGAGTGAAAGAGGTGGAATTTTTATATCGATGATAATTATTCAAAGAAAGATTATTGATAATTATATAATGTACGAATGGATATTTATTTATACAAGAAACTCTGTTACTTTGTTTGTTTCTATGGTTCAATAGCTTGATGCAAAGAAGAACATTCATACTGTCAAGCATGATAAGTTTTTTCTGTAGAATGAAGCGTAGTGGTGAAGAGATTTTCAACATCCACACCCATCCTCTCCTTATGTCCAGAAAATAAATTTCTTAGTCCTTTTTTTTATTCCTTTCATTTCATAGTTGGACACAAAGGCTATGTAATAATAATGTGAAGGCCTATAGCAACAATAAATTAATAGATAAATCAATAATTGATTTAATTTTAATAAAAGTCATTAATGACATAACATGTCAGACAATGACAAGAAAAAAGAAAAATATTTTTATAATGAATTTGTTGAATTTTCGACCATGTTGAGACCATCTTCGGAACATTTTGATGTAACAAGAAAAAAATATATAAATATAATAATAAATTTGATAAATGTTGTAGAACTTGTACGACAAATATAATAATTGTTAACACAACCAGGAACAGCACCGCAAGATAATGCACCACCTGTGCCAGCTATGCCAGAATCGAATAAACCAATATCACCTTCGCCATGATCAAGTAAACCAATACCACCAGTTTCACCAAAACAAGTTTTTGTATCTCTAAATAGAGAATATAAGTATCTTCTCATTGTTTGACATGTTATGTCATTAATGATTTTGATTAAAATAAATCAATTGTTGATTTATCTATTACTTTCTTGTTGCTCTAGGTCTCCATATTATTATTATATTAAAAACAAAATCCATGTTTTAATATTATTTTATTGTATGTACAAAGGATATGTACTTAACCTCTTTTTGTCTTTGATATTTCGTCGATATTCCGCAGTTAGAATACCACGATTATGTGATAAAGTTTTTCTTGTTTTCTTTCTTTTTTTATGTATACAATCTGTGACCTTTATATCACTATTGAACAGACAATGTACTCGCTATGCACTATTGTTCAATGTCAATTACGAAAAGTCAGTGAAGTAGAAGAAAAGATCGTGCGATGCATAACTTCCTGTTCCACTAAACTTTTCCACGCTCTCTTGTAGAACTTCAAAAAAAAACATTCAAAACGCTTTTGTACCTGTAAAATGTTTATACTGCAGATCCACCCTGAAATCCAAAAAATGTTTCGTAACTCGACCTTAATCGACCCGAATTTAATTTTTCTTTTCATGGTCCGACTTGACCATGCTATGATGCGGCCTAAGTCGGACACTGCGGTGTTGTTAACATAATAATTGTTTCATCTTTCTTTCTGTTGCATTGATTGACCGAAACAAACGAATCAATGACTAATTTTCTCTTTACGCTGCACATGAGTAAAGGACTGATTAGCGATTTTCTCATTCTTGATACATTGAAATCGAGCTACAGAGACGTAGTATCGATAGAAATCGATGAGTTCTATCTGGAAACATCATTTATTTTGTTGGAAAGTGCTCATGGGTGAATCATGCCGGATCATACGCGGATTTGATGTTTTTTTATCATGTTTTTGTACTGTAATTGGCATTTCTCATGATGTTACAACGATTCTCTTGGAGAATTAACCAACTAAATGGATAGAGCACATCGAGTCGTACTTAAAAATTAAGTGAGATTGGTTAAAAAGAGTTTGACAACAAATCCATTCAAGAAATACTCGAAACCTGACTTAAGATTTCCTACGTAAATCAAGAGCTGCAGCTTCTGACAGAAAGCTCGAAATTATTTATTTTTTCAGCTATGATATTTAAAAAAGAAAGGAAATGTCGCATAAATTTTGTCATGCCCTTTTATTTTTTTCATCAGGTGGAATGAAACAATAAGATCTCCTGTACGTAGATATAAGATGCAGTGATTCTACTCCTGATAAGATTGATAAGACGAGCATGGTATGAAAATTTGGCAAAACATTCTATCTCTTTATTAGCTTGAATAACAATTATCTCGATAAGTTCACATATGTTTGCCGCATTTTCATATAAAATATTTATTGAAAATGTTACAACAAGTATAAATAATGATTAAATGTAAAAAACAATAAAAATCTTCAAAAGTGAAAGGCAATAATATTTATTGTGGTAAAATAGAAATAGCAGAGCGAAGCAATTAAACATAAGTAGACTAGCTACTAATGGAACCTTCACCATGGATTAGTAATCTAAATTGCATGTTGTAAATATGTTATATTGCATGAAAGTATTCTAAGCTCAATTGGAGTTTGTATTAGATAAGATTTTCAAATGTTAAAAAGCCTTTGCAAAAAGACAAATGACACAAACACCCTTTAAGATTAGATAGCTTCCATATGATATCAAAAATTTAGGAAGATAAAAAGTTTTGTAAAGGCATATGAAGAAATCAAACGAGAGCATGTGATGTTCGAAGTCATTTGACCAATATCTCGGAAAGTTTTTAACGGCCTTGCTGCACAAAATGTGTTCACGTTCGTTATAATCTCAATGATCAATCTTCAACACGATACCACATCATTGATCGCATGTCGTATGAATGGCCACAGCAGCATTTGTATTCAAATTTAATACTTACTTTGAAGTAAACCATCGCACGCATTATATAGTTGAAAATCGCCGAGGAACTGGATGTTCTGAGCAAATATACTGTTCATTTGATAGTCAACACTTAGAACTAAAGCTTAAGTTTGTGATCTAATTGATAATCACATGGTACGTGAACACTATCCACAATCTATTCTCTCATGTGTATTGTTAACCATGGGGCAAAACTTCTGTCGTTATTATAAGAAAACAAATCATCTCAAAAATGAATATAGCTAATAACAACTCTATGCAAGTATATCAATCACTTGCAATCAATTGTTGTATGTTACATAAAAAGAATAGCGCATATACTAGGCGAACATTTTTGATAAAATACCTATTCAAAAATCTTCTGTGAAACAAACCCAGATATATCATTTACTCATCGAATAATGAATAAGGTGCAAGTGACTAGTTTCAATCAGGGCTTTCTTCAACTATACAACTCATCGAGAATACAATGTGAAAGTCCGTCAGGTAGTGCCAGGTCATGCAGTCCATGAATCATTCTAGGGATAGTTTTGTTCAAATATATTGAACACTTCAAAGCGAAATATGTTTGCGAATCCTGCTATTGAAAATCATTTTATAAATGAATCATTCCAATCGTTGACTTTCTGTGCATATATATGGCTTTCATTGCATCAAAAATATAACGACATGTCCCATGATGAAGGTGCACACAAAAAAGATACATAGCAACTACAACAGATCTATTCATTTTCGTGCATGTCTAACTCAAAAATTAGCTAAAAACATTGTCTTAGAGGATTACAGTACGAGTGAATCATTTTAGACAAAGCCTTACTCAACTATCTTACTCTCTAGAAATTAATGACAGTAGAACGCAAGATTGAACAGTGCATGGCATATGAATTATCCTAGACAAGGTCGTATTTAATTATTTTACTCTCAATCAACCAATGTTAGTAGAACATAAGATTGAACTACGCATGGCAGATGAATAATCTCAACTAAGCTCAAGTTCATGTATGTTATTATCAAACAGTCAGTGATAGTGAAGCTTATGATTGAGTAATGTATGCCTGATGAATTATTTGAAGTAAGATTCTGTTCAAATAAGTCTCGTATTGTAACCAAGACTTTATTTGATTTACATCAATGATGATATTTTAGATAATGAATTAGCAAGACAATGGTCAATTTCAAACAGTTCGTTATGCTGTTCTCAAAAATCAACATTTTGCAACATACTGTGAAGCACATAGAAATGAAATAGCTACACTTGCACCAATTGAAGTGTATTGATCGAATATATTATTCAGTTTGAAATGAAGTATGATACTAGATCGGATGATTAACGGTCAAATAGATATTGAATGATTCTAAATATGAATCAATTCAACTATTCTTCTACCTTCCTGGAAAAATCTCATTGCTATTAATGTTCAAGTATTACATTCCAAGTATACAGCCCAAACAGAAAACTATTCTAGCACTTTATTCATTTCAGAACAGAACATCAGTGCATGCCATCTGTCAGTGTGCGCATGGAATATGAATCATTTTTAACATGAGTCTATTCAACTATCTTATTCACTTCAAATTCGATTCTGAAATGAAATAAGATGATGCAATACGACGAGGTAAGTAATTAGCATCAACCATCGTTCTCTTCAAGTATACCACTCACTTCGAAGCAAAAAATGTCAGTTAATTTTACTGACAGAGGTCACTAGAAAATGAATCGTTCAAAGGAAGTTTGTATTCAAATAAGTCATTTGCTTGAAGTAAAGTAAATCATTCCATTACATTGCTGAAAATCATTTGACAAATGGGTTCTTATAACAACAGTTTCATTCAAGTATACCGCTCACTTCGAAGTGAAGTGTGCCACTCAATCAAATCGGCAAAGATGTATGGATAAATGAATCGTTATAAGCAGGGTTTCATTCAAGTATATTGTTCACTTCGAAGTGAGATATGTCATTCGATCATACCAGCAAAGGTGTATTCAGAAATGAATCATTATAACCAGGATTACATTCAAATATAACGCTCGAAAAAAAAACAAAATTCACCGTCACATTAGTATATCGGGATACCTAAATGAAGATTAGGTCGAACAAAGATTTCGTTTAGATATGTCACTCTTAACTAAACTACTAAACATTACTCACAATGGTGAAAGATACATGGCAAATGTATCATTCTGACCATAATCGTATTTAAATATATCACTTACTGAGTAGCAAAGCGTGTCACTCATTCACATAAGCAAGGATCTATTGAACAATGAATCATTTTAATCAGGGCTCCATTCAATTATATCTCTCAGTTCAAAGCAAAATATGTCCCTTGATCACGTCAGCAAAGATCTATTGACAAATGAATTGTGATAAGTAGCGTTCCATTCAATTACATCACTCACTTCAACATGAAATATGTCAGCAGACCAGTATATGAAAATATACGTGTTAATTAATTATCTCCAACGAAAACTTTGTACAAATATGACTTTTACTTTAAAAAAAAGCTCGCACAAAATTACATGGTCGAGGTTGAAATAGTGAATGAACTATTCGAAGTAGGATTGTATTCAAGTATATGACTCACTTCGAAACAAAGTGTGCCACTCCATCACATCAGGCTAGAAGTACTGGCAAACGAATCGAGCTGAATAATACGAGTCTGTTCGAATATCTTGCTTGGCATAAGTAATCCATTTGAAGGAAAAACACATTTGCTGAAAAGGTTAGAACTAAACAGCTACTACAATTGTTCTATTCATGTATTGACTATATCGAAGCAACGTGATATGGCTGAGAATGCAACGAAGAATTACATGAACCGTAAACAACAGGGAGTAATTATCTATTCAGATATTCACTGATGTATCCTAAAATTTGAGTAAAAAGTCTTTTAATGGATTACGTGAAGATATTTGGATATTTTCAAGTAAATACTGATTCAACTACATGAACGGCTGTAAAGCAAGCATCATCGATGTTGTTTCAAATAATGATAGTATAATGCATGCACAGTCTGGACAAAGATTCTATTCGAATATTTCAAATAGTTTGAAGTAGTCGTATGGCATTGATCCATGGACGAAAGTAAATACTATATATGACACTATTTTATCTGGAGCTGTTGTAGTTGTAGTCATTGTAGTGCCTAAATGAATATAGCGAGTTGTACTTGAATTTAAAATTGCATGTACTGCACAGTGTCTCCGTCGTACATTGA